ATTATGTCAATAGGAGCTCTGGTAGTGTACCGCCTAAGGCATTTGACTGCTAACCAGAAGGCTGGTGGTTCAAACCCACCAGCCACACCTTGGAAGGGAGGTTGACAATCTTCTTCTGTAGTGATACCACCTTGGAAACCCAAGGAGGTGTTGCTATGAGTCAGGTCCGACTTGATGGCACATAACAACAACAACAATATACGAAAACAAAAGGCAAAGAGTATGCCTGGGGATAAGGACCCTGGGTGGCACAAGCAGTTTACAGTCAGCTGCTAACCTGAAGGCTGGCCATTTGAACCTCCTCAGTGGCTCTGCAGAACAAAGGCCTGGTGAACTGCTTCTGTAAAGATTACAGCCATGAAAATCTTATGGAGCAGTTCTACTCTGCAGTGCATGGGGTTGCCATGATTTGGGGGCTGACTCAATGGCAGGTAATAACAAAAACAACAACACCTCAGTGTACTTGATATATAATACTAACCCAGCTCAACTCTCAGAGAGATTCAAGATTGGGTTTTCTCAAGTAAGTGAGATTTTCTTCATCAGTCCTAAAACAAACTCAGAGGGCTGATCTATACCAGCCACTCTCCATTATAACTTATATAGAATCAGACAGTAGAAATGCTCAAAGTATCTGCAGTATGGGGCTTGTGCATGAAAATAGATCACTCAGATTCTGAAGCATAATTGACTCATGGTTCCAGTTGCTACGCTCTGAAGGCACCACCATGTTTTTGCCAAGGCCATATTTTCCATAAAGTGCTGCCAGCCAGTTACTGGGTACAACAAGGATACAAATGCAGGCCCATCCCTGCAAAACCCAGAACTCCTCTGCCAGGTCAGTTTGGTTCAAGGACTCCAGTGTTCTTGCCCCAGCTGGAATATTCTTCTCCAACTTTCATGGTTCCCTGTCTTCTTCACAGTGGTCATACCTGCATCATAGTCTAATAGCTGCCTCTCTCAACCTCCTCTGCTTCCTCCTTTTTTTTTTTTTTTTTTTTAACTCCTAGGTGTTTGCCCCCATAGATCTCTTATATGTCTAAGCCCATCTTGGCATCTAACTGGAGCCAACATAATATTGAAAACAAAATTATGTAACAAAGTACAGATACATAGAGTAAAGCAGTTTAGGAAAATTCCCAGTGGGTCCCATTGTGGTAATCATGAGTTTGTTTAAAGTAGTGCTCTAAATAACATTCTGCCCAAAGGCACAGTTTTCTCTGTCAGAAGAAAACTTAACCACCAGAGCATTGTTTTAGGCTATTATCTGCAGACTTTGGCTCCCAGCTTTAGATTTGGAGCCAAGCTGTAGAAATTGCTCCATTCTGTCCCCATGACTTACTTTTTTTCTCTGGTTACACTCACCTGGATGGCTGGAATGGGGTTTACATTATATTAGTTCCCATCCTCAACCTTGGTTACACATTAGAATTACCTGCAAAGTTTAAAATTCCAGTGCCTAGGCCCATTCCCAGAGGTTCTGATTCAGTTGGTCTGTGGTGAGACTTGAGCACAGTATTTGTTCAAAAACTCGCTGAGTGATTATAACGGGCAGTTAGGATTGAAAACCACTGCTCTGTGGGAAATAGAGAAATAGTCCGTATACCTACCCTCATGTGGTTAGCTAAATCTGCAAAGTGTGACTAGGAAGTTATTCATTGAAATAATTATCAGTCAAAAAAGAGATAAACTTCCCAGAATCCAAGTACTTACAGACATGAGTGACTATAGAATGATTTATTTCTTGAAATATGAATGTAGATGTACTAGCAGATCCCAGAGGAGCATGTCACAGCAATATCACCAAAATATGGTATGCCCACTCCATAAAGAAAGGAGCACTAGTGCCACAGTGGTGAACACATTTAGCTGCTAACCAAAATATCTGGGGGATATATAAGATATATAACACATACAAGAGCTCTGGTGGTGTAGTGCCTAAGGCATTTGACTGCTAACCAGAAGGCTGGCAGTCCAAAAGGCTGGCAGTTCAAACCCACCAGCCACTCCTCAGAAGGAAGACTGGGCAATCTACTTTCGTAGAGATACCACCTCAGAAACTCAAAGAGGGGTCACTATGAGGCAGAACTGACTTGACAGCAGTGAGTTTGGTGGGTTTTTTTTTTTTTTT